ACTGGGAACAGGAGAAGGCAGCCTGGGTGTTCTGGGTCAAATCATGTCCCCCTCAAATGCACCTCTAGTCAGATCCCAGAATATGACTTTATTTGGAAATAGGGTATTTTTTGATATATCAAAATGAAGTCACACTGGATTATGGTGGACCCTAAATCCGATGGCTGGTGTCCTTATAAGAATGGGGAAATTTGGCCGGGCGCAGGGACTCACGCCTGTAATCCCAGCACTTTGGAAGGCCAAGGCAGACGGATCACCTGAGGCCACGAGTTTGAGACCAGCCTGGGCAACATGGCGGAACCATATCTCTACTAAAAATACAAAAAATTAGCTGGGTGTGGTGGCACATGCCTGTAATCCCAGCTACAAGGGAGACTGAAGCAGGAGAATTGCTTGAACCCAGGAGGTGGAGGCTGCAGTGAGCCAAGATCGCACCTTTGCACTCCAGCCTTGCTGTCTCAGAAAAAAAAAAAAAAAAAAGAACAGGGAAATGTGGACACAGAGACACACGAGAGAGAAGGCCATGTGAAGACAGGCAGAGACGGGAGTGAGGTGTCTACAAACCAAGGAGCATCAAGGAGGGAGGCCTGGAAGAGATTCTCCCTGGGAGCCTCCAGCAGGAACCAGCTCTGCAGATGCCTTTTCAGACTTCCAGCCTCCGGAGCTACAGAGAATCCATTCCTGTTCTTCTAAGCCCCCCCGGTTTGTGGTCATTTGTCACAGTGGCCACAGGAAGCGAATGCCTTGGGCTCTGCAGTGCAACTCTGGCATCTGATGGGGCCTCTGAGCCAGGATGGGTGAAAACTCTTAGCTACAGGATGATTTTGATACAAATGCCAGGCATCCCAGGGAGGGGAGAGTGCTGCGCCAGGCACGGAGGACGCAGGAGGAATGAACGGCCGCCCTCCAGCCTCTGCCATCCTGGATCCACACCCCATGCAGAAACAGCTCCCAGCTCAGTGGCCACTTTCACTCATACCAGGCAAGGACAGAGTGGCTGCCTGGACATTCTCCTACACAGCTGAGGAGTGTTGGGGGGGGTCCCAAGACCTGGCTGCTACGAACCCAACCCCCCAAGTCTTTCTGGCTGCGGCTTCCTGGCCTTCACTACAACCTACCCCACCACATGCTGGTTGTGGGGGAGCCTGGACAGGCCTGCACCCCCCTACCTCGGGGCACCCCCAGAGAAAAGCCCATTATGGCTCCCTCATCAAAGGAGCCTCTCCTTTGCCCCCAAATCCTTTAGCACCAAAGCTAAACAGGAGAAAAGACCTGGATTTTGTGGAAACTGGGATACAGGCACGGGTCACGCCCTCCACCCAGGTGGCCTGAGCCACCTGAGATCTGTGACCCCAGTAGACTGGAGGAGCTGGAAACTTCCCCAGCTGGGGAGGCAGCTCCCAGGCGGGTCACGATGGAGTAAGGGAAGGGCGTGGCTGACAGCAGGAGAAACAGAAACTCCCACCTCCAGTCTGGGCAGGTGAGCGCGCTTCCCGGCCTTGCTCCATCTGCCCTGGACAGGCCACTCGGCAGAGACTCAGCCATGAGAATGTAGGAGGGCAGGGGGCTTCCGAGACCACCTGCTGTGTAGCGAGACTTGCCCCAGGAAGACCATGCTGACCAGCACCAGGGCTGCAGAGGCTTGAGTTGTGGGACCAGGGTGGAAACTCCGGGCCAACGGGTTCCTCCCATTTCTGCTGGTTCTCCCCCTCCACGGACCAGAACAAATAACTGGGCCCCTCCTCCCTCCCTCCATGGCGCCTGTCTTTTGCGGGCTAGGAGTCCTAAGGTCGCGGGTATTTGTTGGGGAATCTGAGCAGCCGCAGGGTCCCATGTGCCGGGTCCAGTCACCAAAGTCTCCAGCTTTTGTGGACGCCCCGACAAAGCGGACACTCAGGGGTCCCAGTCCCTGCCCAGCCAGTTTGCAGGGCCTCTCGGGCAGGGCACCAGCAAGGAGCCAGGCCAGGGGACACCACAGGCCTTTCTCACCTGCCCTTCTGGGGCCTGTGGAACCAGCCTCGGGTAGGGGGGGCTTCCATCCCACCCAGGCTTGATCAGGGAGCCCCAAGTTGGGGCTGGTGGGAGCAACCCCAGCAGAAAAGCCCTTCCCCACCCAGCCCCGAGCCGAAAGAAGCCCAACTCCCACCTCCTCTGCGAAAGTTTCTTCCTGGGGTCCCTAGTCCTCCAGCCCCCCCGCCCCCACGCCGGGTCCCCCACGCTCCCCGCCCCCAGCGCTGGCATCCCAGGGCGCGCCGCCTGCCAAAACCCAAGCCATTCCCTGGCTCCCTTTCCTGGGGCTGGAGCTGCGGCGGAATTTCGGTGGAATTTTGAGGCTGAGACGCATCTCGGCAAAGAGGGAAAGAAAGGGAGAGGAAGGAGGAGGGAAAGAAAGTAGGCTCTAGGCGTCCACTTGCAGGATTCGAGACGGCGACGAGGACCAAGAGGCGGGCGCTGGGGTCCCTCGGCCCGCGGCGGGCGGGCGGGGCGTCCGCGAACCAACCCTCGGGGGTCGCGGGAGAGGTGGGGCCCCGCGTCGGGGCGGGGGTCTCCGCTCCTTACCTACATCTGCATTGCAAAACGCCTGTTGCGGGTGCACCGGGGAGCAGCTGCAGGGGTCAGCTGGGCGAGGCAGCGTCGCCAGCAGCAGGAGGCCGAGCGCCAGCCGCAGGGTGCGGGCCGCGGCGCCCATGGCGGGCCGGGGGGCTGGGCGGGCGAGGGCCGCCGCCGGGGGTCCGGGCGCTGCTCGCGGCGGCGGGTTGGGGGCGCGGGCCGGGGCTGAGCCGGGGCCGAAACGGGCCCCTCCCGCGCGGCGCACCCTCCTCACCTGCCCCGCTCGGCCGCGCAAACTTTCTCTCTCCTCTTTGTCTCGGGGGCGCGCGGGGAGGGGCGCGGGGCGCAGTTCGCCGGGCGGGGCGGCGGGTAGGGGGCGGCGGGCGGGCGGCGCTGCAGCTCTCCGCGGCTGCGCTGCCTTCTATGGATGTGTTTGCTGTGAGCTCGGGCCGGGCCGCTGTTTTATTGCGCTCGGAGGATTGTCTGCTCCTCCTCCCGGTGGCTGGCGGCCAATGCAGGCTCCGGGCGCTCCCAGCAGCCCCCTCCTCCCCCTCCGCCCCGCACCTCCCCCGAGCCCGCGCTTTTGTTGCGCCCGGCCTGGCACGTCGGGGGCTTACCGCACCGCCCAGCGCCCGCGGCCCACACCCGCGCGGGGCTCCACAGTCCCCAGACCCCCGACCCCAGCCCCCGGCGCGTGGCCTCCTGCTCCCGGGGGCCCTGGCTCAGCACGTGGGACTCGCGCCCGGTCCCTCCGGGGCCCCGAGAGACCCATCCGCCGCCCCCACAGAAGGCGACGCCGCCCCGGGGTCTCTGAGAGTCCAGCCTCGGGACGAGCCCAGGAATGTGCCCTTTGGAGCCGAGGCAGTTCCGTGTCGCCGCCGCCTCCCTATTCTTGTGGGCGGGTGGCCTATGAAAAACTGACGGGATCGCTTTTTCAAATGGAGGCCTTAGAATTTTAAGTGCGCCTGGCTAGTTTAGTTGGGGGGTGGGGGTGTGTGGTTACTGGGAACAAAACAGGATTTTATATAAACTGGCCATATTTTTGACCAGCCAACAAGAGACGGGGGGGGGGGGGGGCCGAGGTTCCCGGGAGCCAGTAAGATCGCAGCGGAGGCATCGGTGGGGCTCCGCTCACAGTTTTCTCTCTTAGCCCGCAAATGTGGGAACCGAGGGACTTTTCCCAAAACAGTTTTGTGTTCCAGGAAAGACCCAGGCACATGAAGGTATGAACATGTGTAGGGTGGTGAGGCGGGCTTCCTGGCTGTGAACCTGCCAGCGCCTGGCTGTGGGCACCCACCCTGTGAATCCGGTGTGTGCCTCACCGGGCTCCGTGGACGCTGCTGCACTCAGGTCAGCACTCTAGCCCTCAGGGTGTCGCAGTCTAGCTAGGAAGATGACACAAGAAGAATCAGGGCCGGGCACGGTGCCTTTCGCCTGTAATCCAAGCACTCTGGGAGGCCGAGGCGGGAGGATCTCTTGAGGCCAGGAGTTCGAGACCAGCCTGGCCACATTTAGTAGACACAGTGAAACTCCGTCTCTACTAAAAATACAAAAATTAGCCGGACGTGGTGGCAGGAGCCCGTAATCCCAGCTACTCTGGAGGCTGAGGCAGGAGAATCACTTGAACCCGGGAGGGAGAGTTCACACTGAGCGGAGATCTCACCATTGAGCTCCAGCCTTGGTGACAGAGTGAGACTCCGTCTAAAAAAAAAAAAAAAGAATTCGCCCACTAAATTGTGCGGTGCTGACTTGAGGTATGAAACTTTGGAAAATAGTGAAAGGATGGAAAAACAGCTTCTTTCTGTTCATGAATGCTTTGTGACAGACAACTCCGAGAAAAGCTAAATAAATTTTTAGCACCCTGACAAATCCAAAGTCATTTTTTCGGTTTTTGTTAGCGCGAAATACAGTCGTGTCGTCCACGAAGTGATGTTTGAAGCTAACTTTTCAAAGTGCAGTTAATTCTGAAAATTGTTCCGTGCTGGCTGCTTGAAGCCAGTTCATTACTTTCTTTCCTTCTTTTTGGTTACAAGGGGAACGAAAGCTGTTGAACTTGACAGAAGTCCGGAATCAATTGTCAGTTCATGGTAGAAACAGGTAGCGTAGGGGCTCTCAGTCTTTTAACCGAGCTCGTAAGTGTGATCAGGTAGGTGTATTAGGGTAATAAATACCTTAGAGCAGGTGTGGTGCCGACAGCCAGGGGGAGGGGCTCACATGGGATGTACCTGGGAGGAAAGGGGGGCGCTGGGCTTCAGGGTGAGGGGCATAGACTGGAACTTCCAGCCCAAAGCCTCGCGTCTGCACCCTGGACGGCCCTCCCCCAAGTCATCCCCACCAGCACACAAACAGGCTGGAATTGCTCCCGGGAAAAATTAAACAGAAATCTTGCCAGGTGCAGTGGCTCACGCCTGTAATCCCAATACTTTGGGAAACTAAGGTGGGAGGATCGCTTGAGGCTAGGAGTCTGAGACCAGCCTGAGCCACATAGTGAGACCCCATCTCTACCAAAAAAATTAGCTGGGCGTGATGGCACACACTTGTAGTCCCAGCTACAGGAAGCTGTGGTGGGAAGCTTGATGCTGGGGAAGTCGAGTCTTCCCCAGTGAGCCGAGATCACAACGCTGCAGTCCAGCCTTGGTGATGGGGTGAGACCCTGTCTCAAAAGGAAACAAAAGTCTTCCCTCGATTCCCCCACCATAGAGAACCCTACTTTTTTACTTTATATACCATTATCTCCTCCAAACAGGTCTATCCTGCAAGTTTTCAGCTTTCTTTTCCTCGCTTTTCTCTCTCTCTCTCACTCTTCCTCCTCCTTCCCTCCCTCCGTCCATCAACAAATACTCATTTGAGCGTCTGCTGTAGCCTGGACACCGTCCTGAGAGTGAGACATTCAGCGTCTACAGAACAGAGGAATGTCCCTGGGACGGCAGGTGGAAACACGCAAGTTCCCAAGGCTGGAAAGTGCTGGTCTTGGTGGAGCCGGTGGTGTGGCAGAGGAGTGAGAGGAAGGAGGGCTGAGGCAGGAGGCCAGGAGCAGGGGCTGGGAGGGGACACAGCGGAGGGCACCAGGCCACCAGGAGGATGTGCATTTAGCTCTGAGTGCGGTGGGAGCCTTTGGAGGGTTCTGAGCAGAGGGGCAGGATCGGACGCATCCTCTAGAAGGATGGAACTCTGGGGGATGGCCTGGGTGGGGGCGGGGAACCCAATGAGAGGGCTGGTGCCTGACATCCAGAGACTCCAGAGCCACGGAATGGTGAGCACAGAACCTCTCTGGTGCAGTCCTGTGAATGGCTGACCTGCGGCTGCAGTCAGGAGCAGAGGGGACTGAGGTCTGAGGGGTTCAATGACTCTCCCAAGGGCACAGCAGGGAAGGGGAGAGGCCGGTCCCAGAAGCCAGGCCTCCCTCACAGCCCACAGCCCCCAGCTCACTGACCCAACCCCCAGCTTGCTGACCCAGCCATCTCCCTGCACTTGGGGCCCTCAGGGTCTCGGCTCCTGGGCCAGCTTCTGTCCCATTGACCTCCCTCCACCTTCCCTTCCAGTTAGGTCCTCCCATCTCAAAACCAAGGAAACTGAGGCCTCAGACCAGGAGCCTGCTGAAGACAGGGAGTAGGCGGGGGGAATCTGGCTCATGGTAGCACAAAGACTCTTTTTCTTTTTTTGAAAGACTGGGTCTCACTCTGACACCCAGCCTGGAGTGCAGTGGCACGATCTCAGCTCACTGCAACTTCTGCCTCCTGGGCTCAAGTGATCCTCCCACCTGAGCCTCCTTCGTAGCTGGGACCACAGGTGTGCACCACCACACCCAGCTAATTGTTGTATTTTTTGTAGAGACGTGGCTTCTGCAAGCTGCTCCTTCTCCTTCTCTTCTGTGCTCTGTGGCCAGGAAGGCTCGACCATGCCAGATGAACTTGAACAGGGGGAAGGGCTGCCACCCATAGGGGAGGGGACGGGGTCTGCATGCCCCACACCCAGGGCAAGAGAGGAAGGAGGAAGGCAGACCCGGGCTGGAGCTACCTCCACTGCCTCACTCCTTTTTCTTTTTTTTGAGACAGACTCTTACTCTGTCTCCCAGGCTGGAGTGCAGTGGCACGACTTCGGCTCACTGCAACTTCTGCCTCCTGGGCCCAAGCAATTCTCATGCCTCAGCTTCCTGAGTAGCTGGGATTACAGGCACCCACCATCACACCAGGCTAATCTTTGTATTTTTAGTAGAGACGGGGTTTCACCGTGTTGTCCAGGCTGGTCTCAAACTCCTGAGCTCAGATGATCCGCCCACCTCGGCTTCCCACAGTGCTGGGATCACAGGCGTGAACCACCACGCCCAGCCCATTGCTTCACCCCTCACTAGCCCCCTTCACCTCTCATCTTGATATTGGTGGGTGGGCTAACAGGGGGACCATAAGGAACACCCAGCCCAGCCTGGGGGACCCTGGCTTGGAGCAGCTTCAGAGCAAAGGCTCTCAGCCTCTTAGGACAGATGGAGCATGAGGGAGGCCTGTGGAGTGCAGGGGGCAGGGGTGGGGGGATGGTTTTAAGGGCCCCTCAGACCATGTCCCAGGGACTACCACTTCCCACTAGGAACATTGCCTTGCTCCCCCACCCCCTTGAAGAGACCTTCCCGGCAGAGAGCACAGCAGAGCCGTCAGGCATGTGTGCACCCACGCCCAAACACGGCCGGCAAACACATCCCAGGCTGGACCTAGTGAATGCTATTTGGGGCCAGAGGAAGTGCCAAGGCCTCCTCCCTGTTGCTCCCGTCTCAGGTCATCTGCTGGGTTGGCAGGAGGACGCCTGCTCTTCTCCGAGGCCTCACCCTCCCAGGCTGGAGGAGAGCCATCTGCCCCTAAGCAGGTCGTGTTCACTTTCTGGAGACGGCTTGAGTGGACCCGAAGCCCCCCATGCTCTTTCCAGCAGGTCTGGAGAGCCAGACGTTCTCATCAGGAGATGGCATGGATGCTGGCCTCACACATCCCTGGGAACTGACCCCCTGCCGAAGCTCCAGCAGCCAGGAGAACATCCCTCCTGGGCAGTCTCTGTTAGCAGGGAGCCAGCAGCTGTAGGGGAAGGTGGGGAGCGGGTCTGAGGCTGGCTGTCTGGGAGGTTTCTGTAGTCAGGTGACACGCGGCTCTCAGAGAGGAGCAGGCAGCCCATCTGTGCCTCCCCATCCAGCTAGGCCTCAGACTCTGGGTCACAATGGTCACCCAGCCCTGGTGTCCCTCCCCAGCATCCACCGGTGGGGCTGTTCAGCACAGGACATCCTGAAGATGACAGTGGATTTCATTATTAATCTTCCTCATTAGGGGCCAGGCTTCTCAGCCTTCACACAGTTGACATTTGGGCCGGATCCCTGTTTGCGGGGGGCTCTCCTGGGCACTGTAGGGTGTTTAGCAGCACCCCTGGCCTGGACCCACGGGATGCCACCCTCACCCTCTCCAATTAAAACAAACAGGGTCTCACTCTGTCAGCCAGGTGTGATCTCAAGCTATTCTCCTGCCTCAGCCTCCCAAGTAATGCCAAGCTGGGATTATAGGCATCTGCCACCACGCCTGGCTAATTTTTGTGTTTTTAGTGGAGACGGGGTTTCACCATATTGGCCAGGCTGGTCTTGAACTCCTACCTCAAGTGATCTGCCCACCTCGGCCCCCAAAAGTGCTGGAATTGCAGGCATGAGCCACTGCACCCGGCCAAAAAAGACTTTTTTAAAGTGTCCATGCTGTGGACACTGTCTCATGCCTGTCCTGTCAGCATTTTAGGAGGCTGAGGCAGGAGGATGGTGTGAAGCCAGGAAGTCGAGACCAGCCTGGGCAACACAGCAAGACCCCCACCTCGATAAAGAGTTAAAGAAATTAGGGCTGGGTGTGGTGGCTCACACCTGTAATCCCAGCACTTTGGGAGGCCAAGGCGGGCGAATCACCTGAGGTCAGGAGTTTGGACAAGCTGGACCAACATGGCAAAACCCCATCTCTACTAAAGTATAAAATTAGCTGGGCATGGAGCTGCATGCCTATAATCCAGCTATATGGGAGGCTGAGGCAGGAGAATCACTTGAACCCGGGAGGCAGAGGTTGCAGTGAGCCGAGATCACGCCATTGCACTCCAGCCTTGGCAACGAGAGTGAAACTCCATCAGTGGGCAAGGCCAGGTACAGCGGCTCACGCCTGTAATGTGCATTTTGGGAGGCCAAGGCAGGTGAATCACTTGAGGTCAGGAGTTCCAGATCAGCCTGGCTAGCATGGCGAAATCCTGTCTCTACTAAAAATAGAAAAAATTTGCTGGGCGTGGTGGCATGTCTGTAGCCCCAGCTACCAGGGAGCCTGAGTCATGAGAATCATTTGAACCCAGGAGACAGAGTTTGCAGTGATCTGAGATCAAGCCTCTGTACTCCGGGCAACAGAGTGAGAGTCTGCCAGAAAGAAAGAAAGAGAGAAAGGGAGAAAATGAAAGAAAAGGGAGGAAGGGAGGTAGGGAGGAAGAGAGAGAGAGAGGGGAAAGGAGGGAAGGAAAGAAAGGAAGAAAGAGAAAGCAGAGAAGGAAGGAAAGGAAAGAAAGAAAGAAAAAGAACAAAAGAAAGAGAAAGGAAAAGAAAAGAAAAGTTAGCTGGGCATGGTGGCACAAGCCTGTAGTCTCAGCTATTCGAGCTATTTGGGAGGCTGAGGTAGGAGGATCACCTGAGCCCAGGAGTTCAAGGCTTCAGTGAGCTATGATTGGGTCACTGCACTCCAGCCTGGGCAACAGAGCAAGAGACTGACTCTTTAAAAAAAAAGTTTCCATAATAAAACAGCATGTATAATATTTCTTTTATGTGAGGTCAAATATGTGGGTCTAGAAACAAGTATACAGACCAGGTGAGGGGGTGACACCTGCCATCCTGGCACTTTGAGAAGCCACGGCAGGGGGATTGCTTGAGCCCAGGAGTTTGAGACCAGCCAGGGCAACATGGCACAACCCTGCCTCTACAAAATATATGAAAATTAGCTGGGTGTGGTGGCGCATGCCTGCAGTTCCAGCTACTTGGGAGGCTGAGGCAGGAGGATCACCCTGGTTGCTTGAACCCAGGACATGGAGGTTACAGTGAGCTGAGATCACGTCTGGGTGACAGAGTGAGACCCTGTCTCAAAAAAAGAAAAAAATAAAGAGGCATACAAAGGTATTCACTGAAGGGTTAGTGGGTATGCCTGGGCAGTGGGGACTCAGGTAGGTGGGTGTCTTCTGTCCTGCTCCGTGGCAGCAGGCGGTATAACGTTCAGCCCTGAGGGGGGCAGCCCTGGGTGGGGGGTACAGATGTTTCCCACACTTTGTTTAACACTATTGAAGGCTTCATGGCCACAGGCATCAGGGTTCACTTTTTAAAGATCCTGCTCCACCTTCCAGCCACTCTTGGTCCATGCCCCTCTTTGGGTTTTTGATTGTTTGTTGCTCAGGCTGGAGTGCAGTGATGCCATCTCGGCTCACTGCAACCTCCCCTCCCGGGTACAAGCAATTCTCCTGCCTCAGCCTCCTGAGTAGCTGGGATCACAGGCATGTGCCACCACACCCAGCTAATTTTTTGTGTTTTTAGTAGAGACAGGGTTTTGTCATCTTGGCCAGGCTGGTCTTGAACTCCTGACCTTGTGATCCGCCTGCCTCAGCCACCCAAAGTGCTTACAGGCATGAGCCACCTCGCTCGGCCATCCCTTTGGGTTTTGTTTTGCACAGTCCATTGGTATATTTCATGCCATCCCACAGGCCATCTTTGGGAAAGTGGGGCTTTGGCCTGTCTCCGTCATTTCCATCTCCTATCACCCCAACCTGCCTCCCCTCCGCAGACAGGCACCCTGCAGGGCAAAAGCAGCCATGAGCCAGGCAGGGCACCTCCCTTTAGAAAACCTGCTTGGAGTCCAGCCTCTGCACACCCCTTGCGCAGGGCACAACCTTCGCAGCCCCTGACAGCAGCCCCAGAGCCAGCCCTCTTGCCATGGTCATGTCTCCCATGACTCCAGAAGAAGAGAGGCAGAGAGGTTGTCCTGGTGGGGAGCAAGAAGCCCATGACATCATTGACTCCATAGAGAGAGCCTGTAGAGCCAAGGTTGTTCAGCTGTTCTGCCGAAGCTAAACCACTTGGAGCAGGTGACTCAGACTGAAGGCACATGAACCCTTCCTCCAGGGAGGCCGCCCTGATGCAGCAGTGGTTAATCCCAGAGCCAGGCAGCCTCTGCAGCCTTTGCTTCACGTGGGCTGGAACGGCAGTGCCTCTACTCCCCGTGGCCAGGTTTTGCCTTCTCTTTCACTCAGAAGCACCTCCTAAACAGCAAGGGCAGTTTGAGCAGCCCCCTGAGCCCTCCTTCAAAGAGGCTCCTGCAGCTGGGACACCCGAGCCAAGAGTTGATGCCGCTGAGCTCTGCTGTCTCTCCCCACCTGCTCCCCACCTGTCTGTCCCCACACCTGCAACGCCAGCTCTCCTGGATCCTCCTGTCGCCTGGTTCCTGTGAGGACAACGAGGAACTGGTGAGATGCCAGGGCTGGATGCTCCAGGCCTGGTGCTCGTGTTTCCTCATGCCCCGGCTATTTCCTTTTGGCCCTGGGCACGTGGTCATGTGCTTCCTTTCATGGGCGGGTTGGGGACCAGGGCCAGTGAGCAGAGCTGCCTCCATGGCTTCTCCACCGCTGGCTCTCCCCAGGAAGCAGCCTCAGCTGTCGTTCTGGAGACTGGGGCTGGCCACCAGGGAGGGGTGGACAGTGCAGGAGCCGGCTGCCCGGCTCAGCAGGGATTTGTGGAGGCTGACTGGCATGGTTTCGGGTCCGCCTTGCCTGGAAGCCTGGCCAGGGGTGGCTCAGGTTTCCCGCCAGCTGGGCTTCCTCCTCCTCCGTGTGAGTGACGCCCCACCGCCATGATGTCATCACCTCATACAAACAGAAGGGAGACTGGCTTGGTGGAGCTGGCAGCTGTCCCACGCTGAGTGCAGCAGTAAGTTTCATTTCAAGGCTATGATTAGGTCTGTGCCCAAGAATGTCCCCTCTCTCCTCCCCTCTCCCCAGGCCTGGTTTTCTCTCTGTTCCTGTCCTGCCTGCTTTTCCTCACTTCATTCCCCTCTGGTCCTTCCTCTCTTCTCTGAGAATACTTCAGGTTCTCTGTGATAGGGAGCCTGCAGCCAGCAGCAGCATAAGGCCCGAGCCAGACTCTTGTCACCTCCAGTCTCAAACCCAGCCTCGTGTCCTTGGAAACAGCTTCGGGAAGCATGGGACAGGTCTGTGTTCCTGGACTTCCCCCTGGGGAGGATGGGTTGGGGTGAGGGACAGAGTTCCGGAAGACTCTCATTCGATCTTGAGATCAAATGAGATCAAAGTCCATCAGACGTCTGTCTGAAGTGCCAGACAGCAGGAGAGCGGGCTTGGGCGGCTGTGGTCACCACACCCAGACCAGGGGCAGCAGAGACAAGAGAAAGGTGAGAAGGAGCCGAGCTTCTTGGAAAGCGATTCGGGTCCTTCCCGCCATTCCCAGCTGTTTTCTGGAGATTGGGGCTGGCTCCTTAATTCACTTTTGGCATGGCCACCCTTCTTCTCAGCCCCGAGAGGGCCCCTGGGCTCTGTGGACACCTGTGACAGCCCTGCCACCCTGCATACTCTGCCTTTCCTCCTGTGTGACCTGGCCACCCTGGCTCTGTCCTGGTGCTCTCCGGCCCAGGAACAAGGCGATGGCTGGTCATCCCTCAGTGTCCCCTGCATTCACTGTCCCCTGCTCACGTCCCCTCAAAGGTGCCACCCAGCCACAGAGCCGTCCTGCCGTGGATGCCTGCGAGGAGGGCTCTGAGGTCTGGGCAGGTGGTGAACCCCCACACCTGCACTAGGCTGGCTCCCTGCGGGGGTAGTGTGCTCTGGGTCCCTGTCAGCCCTCCCTGTCCTGGGGGATTGTGGTTCTGACCCGCTGGAGGAGGCAGCAGAATGCCCTGGATGTGGCCTTGTCGCTGAGAGCCTGCAGTCACTCCGGCCCAATCAGACACTGCCCGCCCCGCATTCAGCCATCCCTGCTCATTGAGACAGGCCTGGCCTTGAACCCCTGCTCACCAGGCAACAGCCAGCCCAGAGTGGGGCGAAGTGCTGCAGCCTCGGGGAGGGGCCTGGCACAGAGACACAGCCACCCTAGCAAGGAGCAGAGATGGACACGGCATTTCTGTGGCTCATCACCCTGAGTTCCCCTGGACTCTCTGTATTTTATCACACAGATTTCTTGTTCTCACGTCTGCCTGCTGACTAGAACCTCTTAAGGATAAAGCCTCATGTCAAACTCATTCAACAAGTATTTCTGGGTACCAGCCATGGGCTGCGCAGGAGCTGGGGAAATGGATGGGAGGTGGCCCCCTTTTTCCTGCATCGAAAACCATCAATATGAAAGAGTCAGAGCCCACTGGAGAGTGCGCTGGGTGCCGTGGCCAGTGTGACCCAGGGCAATGGATGGGTGCCAGCAAGGTTGGGGTGGTCTGGGGGGCTGTCTGGGATGTCTCCAGTAGGACCCGGAGGTTGTGTCTGGGTGATGCAGGTGGAGGAGGCAGACACTGCTTCAGACCAGGGAGCAAGCGGCACTGGGAGCCCAAAGGCCGGAGGACACCCAGGCCTCCAGGTGGTCAGGTTGGCTGAACCAGAGCTGGGTGGGGGCAGGGCCTGGGCTGGTGGCAGAACCAGAGCTGGGTGGGGGCAGGGCCTGGGCTGGTGGCACAGGGGTGGGGGAGGGGGGGCCGAAGGTGAGTACAGGGAGATGGAGACAGCAGCAGCTGTTGGTGGTGACTCACTCCTGCGCCGGATGATTGAAAACACATGTTCTCACTGAGAGGCAAGCTTATTACTCAGAGCCGAGGGTTCTTGGGTGACATGGACGTCAACAGGGAGGGGGAGGGGAGGGGGGGGAGGGGAGGAGAAAGAGAGGGGTGGGGAGGAGACGGGAGGGAGAAGGGTGGGGAGGGGAGGAGAGGGAAAGGGGTAGGGAGGGAGAGCCATAGGAAGGGGGAGAGGAGGGGGAGGGGAGGGGTGGGGGAGGGGTCAGTGGTGGGGTGGTGGGGAGGTGCTCCAGTGTTTCTTACTTGTCGCTGCTCACTGACTCTGCCCCTTAGAGTCTGCAGCGGGATGCTTGGCCACCTACTGACTACTTAAAACAAAAACAAAAACAAAAAAGCAAAACACTTACAGCCCTGAAGGTGGTTCACTCCTGTAATCCCAGTTACTTGGGAGGCTGAGGCAGGACAATCACTTGAACCCTGGAGGTGGAGGTTGCAGTTGAGTTGAGATCGCACCACTGCACTCCAGCCTGAGCAACAGGGTGAGACTCTGTCTGAAAAAAAATGAAAAATTTCAGAACTGCAAGGAGAGAGGCAGTGCCAGGCTGACCCGTGGCCCAATGCCCACGCTGGGAAATGGTCAACTCATCCAGGTTTGTTTCATCAGCATCCGCCCAAGTGGATTGTTTTGAAGCAAATCCCAGCTGTTCTAGTTCACAGGCAAATACTGGAAGAACTTGACTGTTGTTTTTACAATTTTATTTCTTCTTTCCTCTTTTTAAATGAAGGATTACCTTCTCTCCTGGCTAGAGAAACACATCAGCTTGATTCTGCAAGGCTTATCCTTGCACAAGACATTTCTCCTAAGGGCAAAACCAGCTTCCCAGCAGCCTTGCCTCGGAATCTTCACCCTCCAGGAAAATACACAACTTGTCACCCGACCTTGAATCAAGCCCTGGGGAAGCCTTCGGGCTTGAGGATCTTAATTTGGCAGCCGGCCAACCAAAATGCTTTATTTCTCCTTCCTAAGTCCTTTGTTGGATTATTGAGGGGCTCTGCCTGAGGAATTTGCTATAAAGGCTTGCGATTTTAATTAATTAATTAATTTTTAGACAGAGTTCCACTCTGTGGCCCAGGCTGGAGTGCAATGGTATGATCTCAGCTCACCACAATCTCCACCTCCCAGGTTCAAGCAATTCTCCGGCCTCAGCCTCCTGAGTAGCTGGGATTACAGGCACGTGCCACCACACCCAGTTAATTTTTGTATTTTTAGTAGAGACGAGCCAGGCTGGTCTCAAACCCCTGACTTCAGATGATCCACCTGCCTCAACCTCCCAGAGTACTGTGATTACAGGCATAAGCCACCATGCCCAGCCAAGGCTTGTGATTTTTCAGGAGCCTGGAGGTTTCTGGGTGGGTGAAGGGACATTTGAAATATGATTATTACCTATCATGGTGGAATGCCTGCGACATGCTGCCTCCCAGCCATGGTCTGGTCTGCCGCTCATCCCACCATGCCGCGTGGAGGACACTTTCACGCAGGGGCTCACTTGGGTCTGAGAATCAGAGAAGCTGGAGTTCGCCTCCTGCCGCTAACTGCGTGACCTGCGCATGCGTGCTTTGTCGGCCCAGCCTCTCCTTATCTGGAAGATGGGGTCCTGCTAGCACCTGTGTGAAGGAGCTCCCCGAACAGCGTCTAGCGCATGGTAAGTCCTTGTGATGCTTGATAAGAAGGAGCCAAGAAACAAAAGCAGGTCACACAGCTGGGAAGTTGCTGGAGCCAGGATTCAAACCCAAAGCTGTCAGACCCTGAGCTGTCCCATTTTTCCAGCAGCAGCCGGCACCCCTGAGCTCCCTTCATTAGCATCCACTGACCCATCGGGACCAGTGACTTTTGGTCCTGATCTGAAAGGCCTCTCTGCTGGGACCCACCCCATGGACACCAGGGTTAGGGGAGATGTCCTGGGAAGCACTTTCCTTAAGAGAGTAAGGGCCTTGGGAACCCGTAGCAAGGGGGACCTCTCAGCCAGCGGGGGAGCGGAGAGGAAGTAGATGAGAGCCACTCCTTTCACCCGGAGGCAGGTGGAGGCCACTCCTCTCACCTGTGGACAGGTAGCTTTAGTGTGACCCAGTCCAGTTCTTTGGGTTTTTTGTTTTGTTTTGAGACAGGGTCTCACTCTGTCACCCAGACTGGGGTGCGATGGTGCCATCTTGGCTCACTGCAGCCTCGACCTCCAGGGCTCAAGAGATCCTCCCATCTCAGCCTCCCAAGTAGCTGGGACCAGTACATTTTATAGAGACGGGGTCCCTCTATATTACCCAGGCTGGTCTTGAACTCCTGACCTCAAGTGATCTGCCCACCTGGGCCTCCCAAAGTACTGAGATTACAGGCATGAGCCACCATACCCAGCCAGGATCTTTCAATTGCAAGGAATAGACCTCCAGATGAGACAGCTCAGTCAAAGGGGCTTCATTCAAATGATACAAGGAACAGAGTTTGGCCCTGTCGCCCAGGCTGGAGTACAGCGGGGTGCAATCTTGGCTCACTACAACTTCTGCCTTCCAGGTTCAAGCAATTCTTCTGCCTCAGCCTCCCAAGTGGCTAGGATTACAAGTGTGCCACCAAGCACAGCTAATTTTTGTATTTTTAGTAGAGGCAGGGGTTTCACCATGCTGGTCAGGGTGGTCTTGAACTCCTGACCTGAGGTGATCCACACGCTGTGGCCTCCCATGATGCTGTGAAGAGGGGAGTGAGCCACCTTGACCAGCTGCCACCGGCTCTCTCTGCATCTCCATGGCCCAGCGTGATGGCTCTCACTCACTCTGCCACCATTTTAGTTCAGATACTCCCATCTCATTCATTCTTCTCCGGGGTCCCATTCTTGGAAGTAAGGACCCAACTGAGCCAACAGGGGCCAGTTGTGGCCACTGACTCCAACTGAGTGGTCAGAGCCTGGGAGTCTGAAGGACAGGGCTGCTCTAGATGGGAGAGCGATGGACACTCTTGAAGGGAGGGCAGTGTCCCTGTGAAAAGAATCATGGCAGGGCCCTTGACTGCCTTCCTTTGAGACCCTTCTACCCTCAAAAGCTTTCAGCAACAGGAGAAGGCAGTCAGGGGCTGGGCTTCTGGAGGGTGTGCCATACCCCTTGCTGTGATGGCCAAGTGCCTATCAATTTGGGAGAGGTTGTGTTGGCCAGAAGGCTCCTGTGGTCCCATCCCTCAGGGAGTGATCTCTCTGGCCTTGATGGCAGGGCGGGGAAGGAACCCTATTTAAGGCACATGGGTTCAGAATTCTGTCCCTGTCCACTGTGTCTCCTGGGCAGCTGTGGGAGGCAGTGGCCACTCCAGGCTTAGACTTGCCTGGGAGAGATGTGTGGAGCTACCACCCTCATATTGGCTGCCAAAGAAAATATTGTTTTGCAGGTTTCTGCGACCTGAGAATGAAACTCAACACCCAGCAGGATAAGCTGTGTAGGGTGGGAATGGAGGCTTGGCTCAGGGATGGCAGGGCTCCAGTCACGCCAGGGCCTGCAGGTCCTGGTGGCTGCGAAGGGGCTGGGTGAGTAGAGCAGTTGAGAGTGGGACTGGCCTGGAACCCCAGCAGAAAGGGAGTTGTTGGGGCCAGGTCTGATGGCTCATGCCTGTAATCCCAGCACTTTGGGAGGACGAGGGGGGTGGATCACCTGAGGTCAGGGGTTTGAGACCAGCCTGGCCAACATGGCAAAACCCCATCTCTACTAAAAATACAAAAATTAGCCATGCATGGTGGCATGTGCCTGTAATCCCAGCTACTCGGGAGGCTGAGGCAGGAGACTCTCTTGAACCTAGGAAGCTTGAACCTAGGAGGTTATAGTGAGCTGAGATCACACCACTGTACTCCAGCCTGGACACCAGAGCAAGAATCCATCTCAAAAAAAAAAAAAAAAAAAAAGGCTGGGTGTGGTGGCTCACACCTGTAATCCCAGCACTTTGGGAGGCCAAGGCGGGTGGATCACCTGAGGTCAGGAGTTCAAGACCAGCCTGACCAACATGGTGAAACCCTGTCCCTACTAAAACTACAAAATTAGCTGGGTGTGGTGGTGCATGCCTGTAATCTTAGCTACTTGGGATGCTGAGGCAGGAGAATCGCTTGAACCCAGGAGGCGGAGGTTGCAGTGAGCCAAGATCATGCCATTGCACTCCAGCCTGGGCAACAGGAGCAAAACACTGTCAAAAAGAAGGAAGAAAGAAAGAAAGAGAGAGAGAGAGAGGAAGGGAGGGAGGGAAGAAAGGAAAGAGGAAGGAAGGAAGGAAGGAAGGAAGGAAGGAAGGAAGGAAGGAAGGAAGGAAGGAAGGAAGGAAGGAGAGAGAGAAAGCAAGCAAGCAACATGGTTGTTGGGAAAGTGCATGCACTAAAAAGGCAAAGGAGACGACTCAGGCTGAGAGGCTGAGCCTAGACACTCACCAAGAGGCAGCTGACTTCTCAGGGAGGACTGCAGAAGCTCTGGCTAAAAATAAACGGGATAATAACAAACATGTCTGAAAAATACAGAATGTACACGGAGTTTAGAAAGTTCAGATAAACCAAAAGAAAAAAATACAACTGATATTCATACAGAGCATTCCTCTGTTTTGGCCCATATCATTCATTCTTTGTCTTTGCATATGATGAACACAAGTGCTGATCTGTTGCCTTTTTTTAACCCAGGAAGTTATTATGGACATCTTCACATGTCATTAAGCGTTTTCCTGCAATTCCACTTGGAACGTCTGCACAGCATTCCAACGTAGCTCTCTCCCTGGGAGGCAGAAGGCGGTTGGAGTGGCAGCTCCAGGCTTGGTGGCCCTTATAGCTCCCAGCCCCAAAGAGTAAGCAGGTGTCCTCAGCCGTTGCCATGGGAAATACCTGAGGAAGGCTCTGATTGGCCAGGCTTGGATCCTGTGCCCATCCTCGAGCCAATCCCTGAGGCCAGCAAAACTGAGGACTTTGATTGGCCAGGCCTGAGCCATCTGCCCATCCTGCAGCCAGGAGGAGGCAGCTGAAGGGATGCTGAGGAGACAGTAAGCAGAGATCCCCCAGGCTGCAAGCTAACAGGAACTCCACACATATGACTGGGAAAATGCCCCCGATGTCTTGCGTCTAAGGCTACAATCCATGAGATCCAGCACCTGCCCCTGAAGAAGCTTATAATTTTGGGGAGACCCCAAAATATGGAAAACTCAGTTTAAAAAGGGTTCAGTGTCAAACATGAGATCAACACTACAGGAGGCCTTTGCTGCAGGATAGACCTGGGTTTAAGGCCCATTTCCACCATGACCTCAACCAATCTCTTTTCTTTTCTGGAGCCGAGCTCCCTTCTGCATAAAGTAGGAATAAAAACACCTGCCACACTCATCGGTGGTTGAGAATTTGATCTGCTGCCATAAGAAATTTGGAGCCTGGCACATAGTAGGTATTTAATTGGTAATAATTAGTAGTAGCAGGCCAGGCTGGGCAGGGTGCAGTGGCTCACGCCTGTAATCCTAGCACTTCGGGAGGCTGAGGTGGGTGGATCACCTGAGGTCAGGAGTTCAAGACCAGCCTGGCCATGATGGTGAAACCCCATCTTTAAAAAAAAAAAAAAAAGTAGTAGTAGGCCAGGCACGGTGGTGGCTTACACCTGTAATTCCAGGAGGCCAAGGTGGGTGGATCACCTGAGGTCAGGAGTTTGAGACTAGCCTGGCTGACATGGTGAAACCCTGTCTCTACTAAAAATATAAAAATTAGCCAGGTGTGGTGGTATGTGCCTGTAATCCCAGCTACTTGGACAGGAACACCCCCAACACGGGAGTATGTTCTGCCACTTGGCGCCCACCCCAGCCCTCAGAGCTATGAGGTCTGCTGGTTGAGTGCTGGGCATCTGAGTGGGAGTTGTGGGTGAGGAAGGGGCCAGAGGAGGTAAGAAGAGCTTCTCACGCATGGGCTGGAGAAGGCAGAGCTTTGCTGGCAAAAGAGCAAATGAAATTAAATGAAGCCACCTGAAGACCAGATGAAGAAAGGATGGGAGTCAAACACATTGGCTGGGATGGGTGATATTTCGGGGACACGGGTGGCAGGAGTGGGGAGACTCTGAGGCAGCTGCTGTGGGCTTGATGCAAAGAAGATCCGGGAAGGAGGAAGTAGGGGTGTTCTGCTGAGTATTTTGAAAACAATCCCTCCATTAAAAGCCTTCACCAGACTCCTGTAATCCTAGCACTTTGGGAGGCTGAGGGAGGATTTCTTCAGCCTGGGCAACACATCGAGACCTTCATCTCTACAAAACATTTTAAAAATTAGCTGGGTGTGGTGCTGGCCTGTATTTGCAACTACTTGGGAGGCTGAGGTGGGAGGATCACTTGAACCTGGGAGGTCGAGCATGCAATGAGCTGAGATCATGCCACTGCACTCCAGCCTGGGCAACAAAGCCAAAACCTGTCTCAAAAAAAAAAAAAAAAAAAAAAAAAGCAGGCGGCCTGGAAGACACAAAGCCAGGTCTGGGTTGTCCTCCCAGTGCTGCTGAAATCTGATGTTTTCGTGAGATCTGGTCCTGCTCAGGAGAAAGAACCAGGTGAGGGCTGGGACGGCTGCTTTGCAAGCCCCATGACCCAGGTCTCCCTCAGCTTCTCCCTCCTCACAGACATCATGAGATACTGTGATCGCTTTGCTCTCTGTGATCATGGAGTGTTTGATGGGGAGGCATGGGGCACAAGGAAGGGGCAGTTGTGACATCTTGAGGGCCTCTGCTGCCCTAAGGCACCCTCTGAAGGTTGGCATGATGGTGGCAAGTCCCAAGAAGGTGCAACAACCTCTAAAAGGCAGGTGAGCTTCAGGGAGCATTCCAGGGCCAGCCCAAGTCCCAAAAGAGGACACACAGCAAAGCCGTTCTCCTCCGTGTGGGCAGACACTTGGCCTCCCAAGGCTGCTCCGGAGGGCTGCCCACCAGCTTGGGCACCCCATGCCCCTTGCCTTCCTGCGTGCAGAACTTCACGAGAGACAAACGGCTCACCCTCAAATCAGAGTGGTGGCCTCGTGACTTTGGAGCTCAGACCTCAACCCTCTGCTGATTTCCTTTTTCGTGGGATTTTGACAGGTGTGATAACTTTGTGACCCCTCCCTCTCCACGGTGGCTCCACAGGCTTTTCATCCATCCTTCTACTAGCTTCAGCTGCTTGAGGGAAGAATGACAATCTCTGACTACCCCTCAGGGTGAGACTCAGGTGCCACCTGGCCTCCGCAGATACCCAGAGCCATGTTTTTATTCAGTGCACAGATGTTGAAGGTAGAGCTTGGTGCATCTCTGCACCGTGGTCATGCCCTGGTGACGACCATACAGAACAAGAAATCTAATATTACCAGTCTCCAGACACCAGTCCCTCGAGTCCCTCCCAGTCACTAGCCCTGCTCTAAGGCGACTGTTGTCCTGACTTGGGGCGCTGTGATTTATTCTGCCAGCCTTCTGTTTAAGGTCAGATCATCCCAAACACACATCCCAATTTGCCAAAATCCTGTCTGGCAATATTTTTTTTTTTTGCAAAAACATTTCTATTTCTATAGAAAACACAGCCTTGACTTAGTTTGGTTAAACTTTTTTCTTTTCTTTTTTTTTTTTTTGAGACGGAGTCTTGCTCTGTCGCCCAGGCTAGAGTGCGGTGGTGGGATCTCGGCTCACTGCAACTTCCAGCTCCCAGGTTCAAGAGATTCTCCTGCCTCAGCCTCCCAAGTAGCTGGAATTGCAGGCACGTGCCACCACACCCGGCGAATTTTTTGTATTTTTAGTAGAGATGGGGTTTCATATGTTGGCCAGGCTTGTCTCAAACTCCTGACCTCAAGCAATCCACCTGCATCAGCCTCCTGAAGTGCTGGGATTACAGGCATGAGCCACCCTGTCTGGCCAAACTTTTAATTTCTTGCCAACAGTTTGTATTTTTCTATATCATCGTGAGTGTCTTAGGGAAAAGTTGCTAGGCGTCTAAGTCATCAACATCTTGAGCAATTTCTAGATTTCATCTGACAATCTCATTCCCGTCCTGAAGAACCAACCCAAATATAACTAAAGGACAGACAAGATGGGAAGGTTTTCCCTGAAGTTGTGTTGTGATAACAGGAAGATGTCTCACAACATGGATTCTCGAGGCAGACAGTGGGCAAGGCCCACTCCAAGGCCGGGCCACCACGCCAAGTCTCAAACGGACACACTTAATTCTGGGCTCCCTGTTGGGTGAGATTTTAAAAACATCTGTCTTGGCCGGCGTGGTGGTTCATGTCTGTAATTTCAGCACTTTGGGAGGCTGAGGCGGGTGGATCACCTGAGCTCAGGAGTTCCAGACCAGCCTGGGCAACATGGTGAAACCCCATCTCTACTAAAATGCAAGATATTAGCTGGGCGTGGTGGTGCATGCGGGTAATCTCAGCTACTCAGGAGGTTGAGCATGAAAATTGCTTGAACCTGGGAGGCAGAGGTTGCAGTGAGCCGAGATTGCGCCATGGCACTCCAGCCTGGCAGCCTGGGTGACACCGTGAGGCTCTGGCTCAAAAACAGAAACAGAAATGAGTGAAGCAGTGGAGGGTGCTCCCAGCCCATGTCTGCCTTCCTCCTTCCTCTCTAGCCCTGGGCTCGGGGCATGCGGACCCTGTCCCCTCCCCTATGGGTGGCAGCCCTTCCCTGTATTCAAGTTTGTCTTAGATGGTTGAGCCCTCCTGGCCACAGAGCACAGAGGAGAAGGAGAAGAAGGAGCTGCTTGCAGCCTGGCCATCATGGTGAAACCTTGTCTCTACCAAGAATACAAAAATTAGCTGGGCGTGGTGGCATGCACCTGTAATCCCAGCTTCTTGGGAGGCTGAGGTAGCAGAATTGCTTGAACCTGAGAAGCAGAGGTTGCAGTGACCTGGGATCGCACCACTGCACTCCAGCCTGGGTGACAGAGCAAGACTCCATCTCATAAAAATAAAATAGGAAATTTGTCTTGCTTATGTCTGTTGAGTTGGAGTTTTATTTGCAGACCAGGGAGAGAGACAGACACACAGTATCAGAACACAAGGTGTTTCCACCCACTGAAGAAATTTCATTTTCTGAAAAAAAGGCTATGATAACCCTTTCCTCAGTTTACCCATTTCTCATGAACAGGTAAAGATGGGCTGCCACCCTTCTGGGACTGGCTTTGGACTCAGTTCCAAGCGGCCGGTTCTGAAGGAAGTCTGCAGGGGACAGGCCCTGAGCACCCACAGCCTGTGGAGGGTGGGCAGAGTGGGGAGGAGGGGAGGCAGGAGGCCAGGATGCACACACCTTTCCCAGTGACGCTCTCGGGACACTGTCATTCTTGGAGGCTTTCTTGACTGTGCTCAGCAAAGCTTTATGTGTCAGTGCTGCAGGATGGGGCTGGGTGAGTGGGAGGAAATTGCACTTGTAAAAGTTAACCTTGGGTAGAAAAAATAAATAAATTAAATTAAAGAAAAGTTCACCTTGGGCAAAGAAAACAAGAGCGGCTGTGTCTCCAGCCACAGGCTTTTGCAGTAACAAGGCTGAGTTCACGGCCATGAAACGTGCTGATAACATAAAGGCACTGCGTCATCCGTCCTTCCTGCCCTGCCCCCGTGCCCCACACAGGTCCTACAGAGACTGTCTATTGACAATTTCTGCCAACGGCCCAGGGAAGCAGCGGCCGCCTGTTGTCAAGCGGATTGCATCCTCTGGGCTGTGGGAGGCCTGAAGAGGCTCTGAGCACGAGGCCGGGGAGGCAGGGTGGCCCAGGCCCTTCTTCCCACCTTCCACCAAAGCCACATCTTAGAGGACTCAGCCACAACACGGGGGTGGCATTTGGATTTTGAAAACAAGTGACTGGGCTGGGCATAGTGGCTCACACCTGTAATCCCAACACTTTGGGAGGCTGAGGCAGGCAGATCACCTGAGGCCAGGAGTTCAAGACCAGCCTGGGACACATAATGAAACCCCATCTGGATGTGGTGGTGTGCACCTGTAGTCACAGCTACTCAGGAGAAGCAAAGAAAATTGAATGGCTGGGCATGGTGGCACATGCCTGTGATCCCAGCACTTTGAGAGGCTGAGGCCAGCGGATCGCTAGAGGTCAGGAGTTTGAGACTAGCTTGGGCAACACAGCAAGACCCCATTTCTACAAAAAAATAAAACAACTAGCCAGGTGTGGTGGCACGTGTAGTCCCAGCTACTTGGGAAGTTGGGGCAGGAGGATCACTTGAGCCCAGGTGTTCAAGGCTGCAGTGAGCTACGATCACGCTACCACACTCCAGCCTGGGCAACAGAGTAGAGCCCTGTCTCTAAAAAACAAAAAACATAATAAAGAAATAAAACATAATGAACCTTGCCATATTCAGAAGCAGAGAACATGTTTTATAACATAAACACCTAAAAATTCTAGATGA